CTCCTCTGAACTAACAACCACAACAACAGGGATGACAGCAGAACACGACTGAGAAACTTTTCCTGTGCGATAGATTCATATTTGAACTTTCTGAGCTTCCACTTGACAGGTTTTTGAATAACTATGGTTCAGTGAGGCGTGACTTGTTCCACACTGGTGGCGTCAATAAAAAGAGTCAAGAGTCAGACACATGAAAGTGAACAAAGCCACTCGGCTGCAAAAACAAAAACAAAAGAACAATAAACTCAATGCAATCGCCTTGTGAATCAGTTCATGTGGCGATTGCAGAACAGACGCTTTACTTTGCTCAAAACAAGTAAGAAAATACACTATTTAGATAAAGTCCTCTAAAATAAAAAAAACACTGTTTATAACTGTAGAATACCACAGGAAAACGATTTCTGAAACGATGCCCTTGCCACAATAACAAACTTTACTAAAGTTTTTTTATCATGGTAAAAACTAAAGTTTAAAACATCTGGTTATGGTTATAAATCCTTAGTTTATAAGAGATAGGAAAATGTGTCTCTGATTACTGATCACTGGCAAAAAGGCGAAGGTGGATGAAATTGTATTTCCCTGTTTGTTACCAAAATATCTCATAAACCACTGGACAGATATTAATGAAACTTACAGAAGAGAATCATTAACTAGAGAATTGCATTTTCTGTGAAAATGCAGTGCGAATGCTTAATGCTGAAAGATTTTTGAAGAATAGCTAAAGAAAGCTAAAACTAGCCTAAAATAGCTAAAAAAAAAAGCTGAAATTAGCACAAAGAAACAAAATGAGCCTGTCTGCGGAATTGTGCAATAAGAAGCTGAAATTAGCACAAAAATGTGAAATTAGCTGAAAAATGCTCATGTTTGAACTAAAAACAGAAAACAGCTGAAAGAAGCACAAAAAGCTTAAAGTAGCAGAAAGAAACTAAAAGAAACAAAAGAGGAAATAAGCAGAAGAATAGCAGAAAAGGTTAGGAAGTAGAAGAAAGAAATTAAAATCAGCAAATTAAAAGTCAAATGAAGCTGAAATTAGCACGTAAGTAAAGAAAAACAAGCAGGATCAGAACAAAAGGCAAAAAGTGCAGTAAAGAACTATAAACATTTTTGAAGAGTTGTAATGATGTTACAGACAGCTCCATCCAGTTTCAATGAGAAAAATGTGGCCAAAAAGCTAAATATCTCAAAAGGTATAAATTGCCGAAGTACCAAAGGTTACAGCAGGAACATCCTGAAGGAGCTGAATATTTTTGATATAGAAATGGTACAAACAGCATAAAAGTTGCGAAGAGATACGTGCCAAAAATGTACAGAAGAAAAAATATCTTAAAAGTGCGAATGCTGAGCATCTGATTAACTTTTGAAATAAACATGATTCAAGAGCTTTAATTCACTAAATTTTTGAGATGTTGAGCTAAATTTTGATGTGGTAGTAATTGACCATCTTCCCTAACATACGGTTTTGCATATAATGTTATTTTGTTTTTAAATATTTAATAAAATTAGGGATGCACCGATATGAAAATTTCAGGTGATATCGATATCCGATATAATTATTGCTGTTATGGCCGATAACCGATATTTACTGATATTACACAAACAAATTATATATGCACAAACACACTTGGTCTGTTTTTGAWACCGTAAATAAACAACCAGACCTCTGACATGGCTCCATACTTCAGTTATTCTTGGCTGCACAGTGTCAATATCACTATCATGATCAAACAGATGCTGCTCAATCAACCATCTCTCCTCCCAAAACAGAAACACAAAGATAAAAAGTGGGAAATAAATATCGGACATTAATATCGGCCCAGTTTTACTCATCGGACCGATATCGATATTCTAAAAAATGACCAATATCGGCCAATACCGATATTAATGCCGATATATCGTGCATCCCTAAATAAAATCCTTGTGTTTCAAGCCTTGCTGACTCAAAATCAAGTTACTATTCACTGATGTTTTGATTTAAAATGACCCTAATACATATTGTTATGAAGGAAATTGCAATCACCTCCAAATTAATAAGTAAGTAAAGTTTTATTTATATAGCGCCTTTCGCAGAAATAAATTCACAAGGTGCTGTACATTCAGAGATGATGAAATTAGATGTTGTCACGCTACAAAACTGGATAAAACAGTAGTAAAATTTTTTCTTCATATGTCCAAATATTCAGTTTAATAAAATATCTTTTATCAGTAGGCACCAGGAAGAGTTTACCATCACTGTCTATGGTGACTTTTGGTGATAAATAACGGGGAATTCTTGAAACTGTAAGCATTCATGCAGCTTTGCACCTTGAATCTTATTTTAACATCGATTTATCATGTGGTTGTTATTTTTTTTTTTTTTTTAGTATCTCAACAGCTGCGCAGCCGTCACCATGTTTTAATTACTGAGATTTCTCACACATACACGCACACACATCCAGGTGCCGTCCACCTCTCTGCTGTGGGACCCGCAGAGCGTCTGAGGTTTATGGGATCTGTAGTGTTTCTGTTTGGCAGAGCATGGCGTAAACAAAACACCGACAGCGCTCCTGACCTCGAGTGTTAATCTTCTGTGTATGGGATCTGTGGTTTGTGTGTTTGTGTGTGTCTGTGTGTTGCTGAAGAGTGTTCATAAACAAATTTATATGGACCCTTATCAGATGTGTAAAACACGGCCACAGGCATGCATGGGTGGAAATGTTTACGCTTCTTGACGAGTCTGAACTGTGTTGTGTACACAGACAAGCTGAGGCTGGTGTAAGTGTGTTAGAAACACACAATCTGCAGATTTGTGTGTGTGTGTGTGCACAAATAGTGTTTGTTATTTTTCATTTGTGAGTTTGTGTGAGAGGTAAACTAGATGAAAGCGTGAAAATTTTGCTGTTTTGAGTTCATTTGCTGCACACATAAATTGTCATTCTGAGCAGGAGTTTCTCTGCTTCCTCTAAAGCTTCTCTGTTTATATGAACAGCTGAGATGAGCTAAGCTGCGTGTATTTTTTTTTCCCATGGACACAATTATTTAAAGGCCCAGTAAAAGCTGTGAATGGAGGGAATGGCAGCAAAGTGGTCCAGAAGAAACTTGACAGTTTGTAATCTAAAGGCCATTGCAAGCATTTCTGCTCCATTTCATCCCTTATTTCATGTCTTCAGTTTTTTTTTTTTCACAGATTTATGATGACACTTTTATGCCCTGACCTTTTCCCCATTCGGTTCTACTGTGGTTGTCTCTCTGTTATTAACCAGCATAAGTCTAAGCCTAATGGATAAGGCACTGGCCTCCTAACCCCAGGGGTTGGGGGTTCAAGTTCCATCTGGGGTGAAAGGTTTGTCTTTTATTTGATAACTGTCTTGAAAAGAAAAAAGTATCTGTTAAATTTTACTTTTTAACAAGCAAGTTTTTTTAAACTTCAAGCTTACAACTGAACTTTAAATACTTTAAAGTGGGGTTCTGCAGAAAGTTATGAACATCTAGTATCTTACCTGTTGTAGATAGCTCTTACAATGACCTCGGTTTGGAGAAAAAGAGATTAAATTTGAAGCGGCCAATGAGCTAAACACAGAAGATCAACCAAGCCTTAATATAACTTTAATCTTAGGTTTATACAAATGCTTTTGTAATCCTTTATGCCAGGGCATTCATCTCTTAAGCCCAAACCCCCGGTTTTCTACTTTAATTCTTATAAGTTCCTTTAGTTCATCATAGACGTGTTTGGTATCTACAGAAACATCAGAATCTTGGTTACAAGCTGGTAAAAACCATTTCTATAAACACACAAGACAGTTAAAACTACAAGCAGTTGAAAATAAAACTATGAAAGGCAAAATAAAATTAGTTTAAAAATTTGGCAAGTCAGAGATGTCAAAATTTTATTTGTGGCAAATAAGAGGCATAATGTGTTATTTTTTGTTTTTGATATTGTTTTATTATCACTACATTTATTCCATAGTGTTCTGTGTGTTGTATTCATTATTAAATGCAACAAAATAAACTATTTCAAAGGTAACAGATCTTTGTGATACTTGGTTTATTTACATAATAACTTTAATTGCTGGACGTTCGGCCCCTCAGCTGTTGACTTGCAGTAACTGTGGCTCCCAGAGAAATTTAGTTGAATAGCCCTGATTTATGCTCTCAACATATAGACAATAATTATAGAATTTTGAGATTGGAACTGTTTTAACATAGTAGCAATTCATTTTATTACAACTCAGACCAGCAGTTAGCTCATCAGCCTGGTTGGAATTAAACTGTATTTCATTAAGAAGAGATCTTACAAAAAGGTATCTACCCAGAATAAAATATAATTACTCATAACTGTTACATAGAATCTCACTTAAAAATATCTAAACTCTCTCGACAAGTGTTCCACATCCTGGACCGTATTTTGAAGAATAACAGAATCTAGAGTCTCTTGTGAGTCATATGTTTGTGCCAGCTGGTGAATAAGAAATTATTTATCATTAATATGACAGGAGAGTATTATTACTGTATGCCTACAAGTAAATATAGACTAATTAAAACTGGCCAATGCAATAAATAAATAAATAAATAAATAAATAAAAGTTCACTAAAATACACATTAAAGACTCAAGACGATATTAGATTTTTTTCTGAACAGAGTGGACGATATGAGTGCGAATCCTCCACGATGAAGAAACTCACGCTGGATGTTGAGCCTAGTTACCATGGTAACCTAGGATGAAGCTCAACGAAAAACTCAAGGTGACCTATTGGGGTGTTGGTCACCATGGTAACAGCGTAGTTATGGAGACATATACAGTAAACTGAGGCGATTTTGAAGACCTCCGTCAGTCTGTGAACTTTCTTTCATCGCCTCAAAACATCAGCGTTTACAAAGAGGAAAACACAAAAAGCGGCTGAATATCTGAACCCAACACTTTTGTTTATAAAGCCTTCAGTGGCAGAGCTCAAGCTGTTATTGTGAGCAGCAGCCGCAGTCTGATTGTGCGTGTAATGAGGTAGCCAGTTGTGTTGTTACTCACGCAGCTGGTCGAAATGTGTCTGCAGGCCGTCTGGTCCTGGAACCGAACAGACCATACGTGCCTTCTGGAAAGTGCTCCACTTATTCACCAAACTCCTCTGCCCACCAATGTCATTCTGCAACACAATAAAAATGGGAATACAATGTTGATAAATGCTAGACTGACAACCCACCTAATACTGGACAGGGACATTTTAAATAAATTTTTACTTTCATTTTTAAGTGTAAAATTTAAGCCTTTTCTTACATTTTTAAAGCTAAACGTTTTAAACAAATTGTATTATTTTGTGTAAAGGGGCAATAATATGTGTTTCTCAGGCATATATTTAAATTCTATACCATAATAAAGTAACTATGTCACCTTCAGTTGTTACTGAAATGATGTTTTTATGTTTAAATACAAAATAAACTTGACTTCTCATCATTTCTGTTTCCAAACACCTTGAAATTGGCCTCTGTCTCTTTAAGAACCTACTTCCGCTTCTGTCCCACCCATTTCAGCACAGGGCCGGGTGGGTGTGCTCTATGATGAGGAAGCTCGGTTTGGAGACACAGCCCAGAGGAGGAGCTGATCCCAAAAGGCGGTTCTAGACCCAACCGGTCATTTTTGCTCCCCTGCCTGCTGCCTCAGGACACTACAGGATTTCTCAAACATCCATGAATGAGTCAAAGACTGTGGGCATGTTTTTGATGAGAGGATAACATTATAACATGATATAAAAATCAAAAAAGTTGATTTTACATGATATTGCCCTTTAAGAATATAAAATTAACATTGTTTTGGTAACAACCTTAATATCATACTGGACCAAAGCTTTGGTTATCCAAGCAGCTGAAGATAAACCTACTGTCAAACAAGTTGTGGATCAGTTTCAGAAACTACCACACCACATTTTAGCTCAATACCTGCAAAATTAGCTGAGACGTGGCCATTTTTGTGTTTGCTAAGATTGCTTACTGTGGAGGGCAGCTTTAATTGTATTGACTCCAAAAGTGAACCAGTGGTAAATTCAATAATAATACTTTGGAACAATATTATTTATTAACTACTTCCTGAAAGTTTCATTAAAATCTGTTCATTAATACCAGAGAAACACTGCCTGGCCAAAAAAAAAAAGTTGCCACCAAAAAATAAAAAAATAAAGCTCACACACTAATATTTCGTTGGACCTTCTTTAGCTTTGATTACGGCACACAGTCGCTGTGGCCTTGTTTGGATAATCTCCGTAGACCTGACCAACTGCAGCCACCCCAGATCATAGCCCTGCCCCCACAGCCTGGTACAGTAGGCACTAGGCATGATGGGTGCATCCTCAAAAAAGATGGGTCCCCACGATCCTTCCACTTTTTAACAATGCGCTGTAAAATTTTTACTAATAATAGTTTCCACAATCTCCTTAGATGTTTCCTCTGTTTAATGCATGCAAATGATTCGACCCTTCTCAAACAGACTGACATCTTTTCTACAACCGCAGGGTGTGTCATTGCACCAGTTGGGGTTACATAACTTTATGCAGGCTGAAATATAATCACCTACGCAGTAATTATCAAATAGGAGGCTTGTACTGATTTGCTTAGTTAAATCCAGGTGGCGACTTTTTTTTTGTCCAGGCAGTGTATTTTGCTAACAGTACTAATACATACAAAGCTACAAAAAAATGAACAAAATCATTACGGCCTTTGGCAGTGTGCAAAAAAATATGAATGAGTGTGGACACTTCAGCAGGACAAACATAAGCAAACACAAAGAGCCAAGATGTAAAAAACATCAATGGAGAGCAAAAAGACAGAGTGACATGGACAAACAAAAACCACCCACCGCACACAACCATCAAAGATTCCAGCAGACTCAGTGGACGCGCACTTGCTGATATCATTCACCCTCGCCAGGGACAGACGCACACTGATTGGCACGTACAGTCTCGCAAGAAAACACCGCTTGCGTAAACTTCACGCAGACGAGTTGCGAGGCGAGCGCACAAACCTGTTTATTGTCATACCTTGCACACGCGCGCCACTCTGGAGTAGAGCACCTTCCCAGCCGCCCCCTCCGCCTCCTGAGCACGCTCGGTGAAGAACACGTAAACTTTATCGTCTTCTGGGTTATCAGTCTCAGACAGTGGCGCTACCCGCACAAACTGGGCATCTGGAGACACACACACACACACACACACACAACAGGTCAATTGCAGCAAATCACTTGTAGTGGAAAACAACTACACTGGTGCGCAGATAACACGTATGAAACAATATAACAAGAAGACTGATGAATGTGGACGTGAGTTTACAGAGAGTCAACATGTGCTGTTGTTATCAGCAACAGACATCGACAAACTGACCTGATAACACAAGAACAGACTGTTTAGGGTGATTGCAGAGATGCTGCCGAGAGGTTACATTTCAGTTGAACTAAGAAATGTTGTTTTGCTAAACATTTGAAAAGGAAGTTGGAAGTTCTGTCAATGTCTAACCCCGAATATACACTACATACGTCTCCGCTGCGCTGCGCTGAGTCTTCAGTTCTCAGATTTCCTTCTGTTTGTGTTTGGCACTTACCCTGCAGCCAGGTGGACTCGTACTGCTCTGTGCGGATAACGTGTCGTCTGCCAAGGCTCCGGAAGAAAGCAGAGTCTCGACTCATGAAGTCTGAGGTGATGCCAGCATACAGCTCGCCGTCTACACAATGTGCGCAAACGTGACAAAATCTTAAATTACAAAAACACAAAAACGATCGCTCGGAAGGCAAATGCTCAAATAATATTGTGCTTTTGTTGCAGATTGTGCTTAACTCCAAAAAACTATAAAAAAGTATGTGGTTCCAAAATTTAATGAAAACACAATAAACATCCAAATAAGCAATAGTTAAATTAACAGTAAGAGACATCCTTCTGCAGAGAAAACGTTGACAAACTCATATCCTGTCTGGTTTGTTTGTTAGATAAAATGACTGATTACAGACAGGATATTGTTCTTTGTTGGGTTTTATTTATGGTAAACTCAAATAATGATCAGCTAAACCTAACTAACCAAAAGCATCAGTCGTGTTGTATTTGTGCTGATTTATGATTCATATTTTAATTAAGATAAACTACATATAACCAGTTGTATTACCAACAACAGCTGAGGCTGTTCTCTGAAATGGGTCATAGGGGCATTTTCCTTTCCCACACTCTGTTTGGCTGTAGGCGAGAGTCTGATGCTCAAACTGGCAAAGAAAAGAGGCAAACACAGAAAAATAAGAAATATAAGAAAGTTGTTTAGACTAAATAAAACATATCCACTTTCCAGTTTCTAAAATCAGACACATGCACACATGTGCGTGCACACAGCGGCTAATTGAGGGTGATCAGGCTAAGTGGAGGGATTTAAAAAATGTGTGAAGTCCAGTCTTAAACCAGTCAGCACCACCGACTCCACTAAGAACCGTGTCTGAACCTCGGCTCTGATCTCACGTGGCCTTTCATGGGATTAGCTGCTTCCTGACACACACACACACACACACACACACACACACACACACACACACAC